AGTTGGAGGGATGTGAATCTTGCCAACGTTTACCTCCGCTTGGACTTTTTCTATTTCTCAAGTACTTGAGGATTGCAAGACTTAATGGGATAGTGAGTATTGGTGCTGATTTTCATGGGAACAACTCTTCTTCATTTAAATCCCTTCAAGAATTGTATTTCTATGATATGAGGCAATGGGAAAAGTGGGACTGCCAAGCTGTGACAGGTGCTTTTCCATGTCTACAAGATTTTTCAATAAAGTATTGTCCCAAGCTGAAAGGACACCTGCCAAAGTTTGTTGCTTTAAAAACTCTAAGAGTGATTCATTGCCAACAACTTGAAGAGTTGACCATTAGTTCAGCTCTGGAGTCAATAAGTGATGATTGTGTCTCTCTAAGGATCTTTCCACCGGATTTCTTCCCAACACTCCGGACTCTTGAACTCAGTGGATTTCCTAATCTACAGATGATTTCACAGAATCTTGTTGACAATCATCTCTGGCATCTGGAAATCAAAAAGTGCCCTAACTTTGAATCATTGCCTGCAAACATGCATATGCTGCTTCCATCTCTCTCAACGCTAGTGATAGAAGAGTGTCCAAGACTTGAGTCGTTCTCTGAAGGAGGTTTGCCATTAAATCTAAAACACATCACACTGAATAATTGCTTTAGACTTGTTGACTCACTCAAAAGAGCTTTAGGAGACAGTCCTTCGTTAGAAACTTTAAAAATTGAAAAATTAGAGGCGGAATGTTTTCCTGATGAAGGTTTGCTTCCACTCTGTCTTTCTGAACTAATAATAGAAGATTGTCAAAATCTAAAAAAACTGAACTACAAGGGTCTCTTAGAACTCTCATCTCTTCTAACACTGAAGCTTGTGAACTGTCCCAACCTCCAATGCTTACCAGAGGAGGGTCTTCCCAAATCAATTTTAGTTCTTGAAATAATCGCATGTCCTTTGCTGGAACAGCGATGCAACAAAGAAGGAGGCGAAGACTGGGAAAAGATTTCTGACATTCCACGTGTATATATAAATGGTAAGAAATTTGTTTAATTATGTTTAATGGTAGGGATAGTTTAATAGTGGTGTATGAACTACTTTTCCTGTTGGTAGTCCT